GAAGCCTTGCGGAAGATCATTGGCAGCAACGCGCTCGATCTTGATGTCGCTTCCTTTATTGCCACCAGCCAGCCAGGCTGCATACACGCACAAGTGCAAGTCCGAGAAGTAGCAATGCGGCTCATCCGGCAAGGACTTCACCTATCAGTCAGATGGTAGGCGTGTGTGATGCTTGCACAGTTTCTTCCCAATCTTGTGCATGAACTGTGTCTCAACTCTTAAAATAGTTGAATTCAAGCTAGGTGTACGTTGGACATAAACCGAAATCGTACGCACCACTCGCTTTTGTTTGAGAGGGCGCTTATGCTGGTAGTGCACCCAGGGATTGCAGCCAAATGAACAAAACTCAATTGCTGCGAGGAGGGGAATCACAAGTACAGCTTTAAACTGAACTGAAAAAAGAATGGCTATTCCAATCAAAACCTCAAACCACTACCCACCCAATTTGGTGGCCAGCCTTGGAAACGAGATTTTTGAGCAAAATCTTCGTGGCGAGCTCGTGTGCATTCTGCGGACTGAAGAAGACCCATTTGCCTGCAAGCGGACATGCCTCAGCCGCAGCGTCGCCCTCTTCCGAAATCTTGACGCTGATAGTAGAAAAGGAGAGGGTCGCTTCGCGCAAGATGTTGCGATCGAGTAGGCAGCAGAACTTGCAACCAGGCTTGAACTCCAACAGGCCTCGCTCGAACAACCGCTGCATGTCCACGTCCAACTGAAGAATCGCAAACTCCTTTGACCCAAGCAAGTGAGCTTCAGCCCCACTCATCCGCCTTGCCATCATCCCTTTCGATGGGATGACAGGATCGCTGGTGGCGTAGCCAAGGGAGCGCCGCGTAGTCTTGAATCTCTGATAGACAGCCTTGCGCAAAGAATCCAGATCATTGACAAACAATCACACTCGTTGAACCTTGCTTCAAGAAATCATGAACAAAACGGCTTTAATATAATTTGGCGCCCCTTGCCTCAAGAGGAGACTCGTGGAAATACAGCCACTGAACCTCGCCATGCTGCACCGCATACGACACATGGTCATTCCACTCTGACCGAGCAAACGCCGCAAAGCCTGATGTCATGACGGTGAATCAGACCGCTATCAACTTTCAACGCAAACAAGTCTTGAGCCAGCTTGCTTCAGTAGACAGCGTTCGCTGCTGTTGCATGTGTAGACTTGAGAGAGGAGGGGGGTGAACGAAAGGTAGCAAGCAATCACAAGTAACCCTGGTAGAAGTCCATGACGGCGTGAACCGGCGCAGCGGGGATTTGATCCAGGGAAGGGGGGGCCCCCTCCCGACGAACAGAATCAACTCTTACAGGACCAAATTCAATGCACAATCCCAACTCCTGATTGTAAAACATTTTTGCTAAAGCAAGGAGAACTCAGGTAGCTCAAGCTACCTTTCGTGACATGATCCATGATCGTCACCCAAATGTAACAACCCTTCAAAACTCTCACAATGGCCACCTCGGAACCCCAGAACTAACAGTTGACTCCTAAAGCAACTTTCAGGCATGATTGGGAGCCCTCTCAAGTAAACTCAATTGGTCAATTGATGGATTTGTTGACTCACCATCTCTCATCCAACGTTTCCCTGCCTTGATCACGAGCACACTCTGGAACATGCTGGACGCATTGCGTTCAAGGCCCGAGTCGTATATAGTCCAACAGTGATTCTGGCATGTGCGGTACCGATGCTACTGGCATTGGCATATAAATTTATATCATATTGCATGTGGTCGCTAGGGTGCGATTTGGGCATGAAAGCGACAAACATGCAGAACATGCCACCCTGAGTCTCAAATTCAATGACATGAAAAGTTGCATTTTGTGGGAACCCAAGGATTTGCCAAGCTTGAGCTGACCTGCGTGATCGCAGGCATCTGATGCGTCTGATGCCGAGCGAATCACTGGAGAAGCAAGTTCGGTGAAGCAACAAAACTAAAAATGTTTTTGACAATTGCAAGAATGTTGTCACTGCTTTGCGCCCCCCATCCTGATGCGCATCCCCGAGTAATGCAAAAAATGCTGGACAAACGGGCCAAAAGCTCACAACCGCCAATGAAGTTGTGAGCCCAAAAAAACAAAACATGCGAGGCTCCAAAAGAAACAAACCTGGAAACTGAGAATGATTGTTGCAAGGCAAGGTCTCTGAAGGTCTCTGTGTGTGTGCGCGTGAAATTGAGAGAGCTTCCACAACAACATTTGCCCAAAAAGCTTCGAACATATTCGAACCCATTCATGGAGTAGCGTTTGTGCTCAAAAAACAACTCCAAATTTCCTGCGTGCTGTGAAAGGTTGTGGGAATGCCTGCCGCAACCCTGATGGTAGAAGCAAAAAGAGCAAGCGACTCTTCATTAAAAAAGGTAAACAACAAAAGTAGTAATGTTCACTTTGGACTGTTTTTTACCGCGAGAATGCCTCGGGACCAGGTCGCAAGCTAGAAGACCTCTGTCAACAAAAAGGTTTAATGTTACAGCCCAGGTATCTTCTTATAACCAGGTGGGGTTCACTCCTCCTATCATATAGGAGCGTGCGCCCTTTTCGACAAGAGGAGTTTGGTGATTGATCAAAATGTCATGACTTTTAACTTTTGCAGGGCAATGAAAGCCTACATCACTTGGATCGAAAACTTTCGATTTTTACCTACCGCGGATATGGCAGAAGAAACAGCGGTGACCCTCCGTTAAAAACTGAAAAAAAAAAAACATAGTGCCGTTTGCCCCCCTCGATCAAAACGGTACAAAAAGAACAACAATTAATTTTACCGTGTTGAGCGCGGATATGGTATTGAAAAAGGAAGCGCCCCCCGGTAAAAACAGTAAAAAAGAATCGATGTTTGCCGTTTTTACCGCGGATATGTTGAAAGAAAAAGGAGCGCCCCGCCCGGTTTAAAAAAAAAAAAAGAAAACAATGTTTACCGCTTTTACCGCGGATATGGTAGAAGAAAAAGGAGCGCGCCCCGGTAAGAACGTAAAGACATAAACTGTTTGCGTTTTACCGTTTTTACCGCGGATATGGTAGACGAAAAGGGGCACCCCCCCAGTAAAAACGGTAAAAAAAGAAAAATTCGAGTTTTACCGTTTTTACCGCGCAGATGCCTCGGATTAACCCCGTAACCCCGGCAACTACGCTAAACCAGCACAGGTATTGAAATGGGAAGACCGATCCTTCTCAAAAATCGACTAAGAACCATCTAAAAGCCGTCTTGCCCTTCCCAACCCTTGAGAAGTCAGTCTCCGTTCTTCGCCTCCACACAGCTCTGATGCATAGCCCTCTGTTCACTCAAGGCGGTCTTCATGGCAGCAGAGACTGCCTCCTGAAAACCAAGGGCCGAAACTCCCAGTCCCAGTTGTGTTGCAAACAAGGATGAACACTATTGAACAATCAGTACAAGCACCTGCTTGCAAAGAAGACATTGGAAGCTTCCCCAGCGGCCAAAAGTCTACAGGCCAAGGGATTTTGGGGGACCTGACTGTCACGGCGCCGTCATCCAATCCGACGTCGGATCCCCGAACGAACTCTCCCGGTCGTGAGTCCTGTCGCGCAGCCTCTTCTGCCAAGTGCTCAAGCTCCTGGCGGAACCCCCCTGAGGGTCATGTAGACTCTGGATTCATTGATGAAGAAAACCCCTCATCAGAAGAGCGCGGCTCTATTCCGTTGCGGCTCGCCCGAAAAGATGGTGGTGGTCCGAGAAGTCCACGTAAAGAAAAACTACCATGTGGATTGAACATGATTGAAGAACCTCTATCGTATATGTGTATATAATACACATTGATTGATTTATATAGTCCGGCATCGACCATCAACCGGCGATTGTTCTGTCTTTTTTCCAGCACTTCTACGGTCCTTTTCGGCACCGCGTGACGGCCATTTCACCGGTGTTCCCACGACGTCTTGGGCTCGTTTCGGGCTTTCGCGAAAAAGGCGTCCGCCGCGGGAGGTCGAAAGCGGTCGCAAGCTGCCTTCCGCTGCATCTCCAAATCCTGTTCCATTTGGTTTGCTTTCATGGCCTGAAGGAAACGAACAGCGACAGAATCCCGAGAGTGGTTGTAGAATGTAGATCTGATGAATGTTCAGCACCTCTGCAGCAGCTGCTTCTTTGGCCGCATCCAAGGATGCTTTCAGGCTTGCTGCAATCCTCAATTTGCAACGGCTTGAATGTCTGGTTACCTTGTCAATCTCTGATCATAAAAATTGGGTAAGGTGGGATCTTCTGCAGCTCTGAACGCTTTGCTTTCGCATGCTCAGCTTGTACCTCTTTCAAGTTCAATCCACATGAAATCAGCTCGGCAGAACTGGCGGTCGGCGCACGCGTGTCTTTGGTCTTTGTTGGTGGGTCTCATTGAGTTTGTCCAACAGAACCTGAACAAATGTGACCATCTGTGACTGGTCGGCCAGAGGCCATAGTCACTGGTTGCAGCCACTCAATTGGCACTCACCATACACCATAGAACCCTTGCGGAAGATTGAGGAAGTGACTTTCTGCTTGTCTTCTTGTTGTTTGGACCTTAAAGAGTTGGATGCGCATGACCCGTTTCGAGACAGAAGCCAAAGTTTGGCAAAACACCACAGTACGTATCACCTGAGAGTGGCCATCTGAGGACTTCACAATTCTTGGTGTTCTTCCAGCTCAGACTTTAATTGCACGAAGCGTTGCAGTAAAGCTTCTTCCTGGCGCCAGAATATTGATCCGCCGTGTGCGGCACTTGATTTTGGAAGACAAACTCTCCAAGCTTTGGAATCTGCTGTGGCAACGTCTGCCGTGCCAATATGCTGTTCTTGCGTTCTTGCCTTGGTCGCATTTTCCGCCGTGTTCCTGCAGATGTGAGGCAAACCGCAACAAAGCAAGTGACCACACAATCGAGTGACCACACCAAGTTCTAAACTGTATGGAATCACAAATTCACCAGGACCTTCCATTACAGGCGACCATCTTCCTTGCCTTGCGGCTGAAATTCGCAGCTGGCTCGCAGCAGCCATAGCGCCTCGCTCGGAAAGCAACAGCCATGCCTCTTTGGAATCGCCCGGTGAGTCGCGACCGAACCTTCACCCCTTATGGGCATCGCTACTAGTAACAAAGGGCATCGCTACTAGCAAGAAGCTACTAGTAGCTCCCAGTACTACTAGTAGCTAGCTTCTGGTAACAGTCGTTTGGCCGCAGGACGAAGCCGCCTAGTAACAAGAAGCTACTAGGTTGGAGGCCATCGCTCGTAGTAACAAGGACGCTACGAAAGTAAAGACTTTTGCTAAAGGTCCCGGAGCAAGTTCTGGAGCAGGTTCCGGAGCTGTTCCGGCAGGCCGTGAAACAGGTTCTAGGCCAAGTCCCAGAGTCCAGAGCTTGGGAGCAGGGTCTCACAGCGTCCTTGCTCCTAGTAGCGATGCCAGGAGCCCCTAGCAGCGTGATAATGTGGTCAGGCTACTGTGCCGGTTGCACTAACCTGCTAACATCGTATCCTTCTGGCACGCTAAGGTGTTACCACGCCCGATGTATCATGTTGGTGTGGTGTGTATTTATGTATTGTATATGGCCGGCTGTCATGCAAACGTGTGTGCACGCTGACATGAATCATATTGTTACACTGATATGCTGGCGTGGTGTCACACCGCCAATTTGTCAGGCTGTCATGCTGACATATTCTCACGCTGGCATGGGCCAAACTAACATGCTAACTGCTACAGTAGCATGTTGTCACGCTGAGATGCGGAAATCCGGTCATGCCGTCACTCTCACTTGCTGGCGTGCTCCAAAGCCGGAACTGGAAGAGGTTAGCTGGTTTTTGCTTGTTGCGGTGTTGTCATGATTGCACATGTTGATATGCTCGCATGGCAAAATAAGATAAGGTTCACATAGTGCATACAAGCGGCTGTATCTAACAAGCACACACCGCTTGACCGTTTGATCACCGTGCAAACGTTGACACACGCCAAATGTTGTCAATGCTTACAGTAATCAGCAAGTTCATGCCCTGTTGGGGACTTTTCTTGGGCTTATTTACTGAACCAACGTCGATACCCAAAAGGGCTGGTCACGTGCCGCTATTCCAGGCTTTGCAGCTCCAAGCTCCAGGCTTTGCAGCTCCTGCTTCGCTGTGATGAGCTCCTTCAAGGCAACACGTGCACAGCGACTGGGCGTCCGTCCTCCCAGGACGCTCAGCTCTGGCCGTCAGTCCTGCTCCATGGCCGTCACCCGGTGGAGTCGAGAAGTGACTACCTGAGACTCTGAGTGACCAGAGGAAAAGGGCACTTCTTGGCTTTGAAAGGTGAAAGACCAACCTCTGCTTGCACCAACTTCTTTGCATTGACAGCCTTGCAGGCAAAGAGGTGTGCGTAGTGATTGTCATCACATGACGTCGCAGTGATCGAAGAAGGCGTGCATGCACGAAGCAGGCGGATCGCAGTATTCATTGCAATGACGGACCGAATGTACTTGCAGCATTCTGTACACTGAACAAGTCCTGTCAGCACCTGATCTTGGATATGTATGGGTATGTCCTGATAAGTCTGTGATGGTTCATTTCAAGTTGAAGCAAACGGGAAAAAGCTTTCGAACGGACGCACGCCCTGGCCATCGCCTCCAAGGCTTTCTGCATCTCTTCGATCCTCTGCCTTGCCTCTTGACGACAACCTCGAGGTCACCGTGCGCTGGTTAGAGGCCGGGTGTCCTAGCACCCTCGAAAGTGTGTCCCGTAGGGGCAGTAGAGGTTGGGTTTTTGAAAACTTACAGTGTTTTTGAAAAACACCTGGAGGCATTTGAAAAACTGGTTGAAAAAATCGCGCAACTTGTCTCCCTTTGTCAATGGAACTCACCAGCTTGGCCTTCAACGTCGCCAGCTGCGGCATCCACTTGTGCCTGCCATGCAGAAGTGGAGGAGGACCCATTTCCGTGGAAAAAGGAAGCCACGATTTCGCAGGAGGCACCAATTCAGAATCGAGCTGGAGCTTGGCCTGTCAGGTCCCACTCGGTCCCACCAGAGCGAACGGTGTGTCCCACTCGAGCTGTTGACATGCTCGACATGTGCTAGATGCTCGACACATTCCATGCAGCATGCCCCACATCCACTGGCCAAGGCAGAATCTAACGCCATACCTTCCCAAGTGTGAGAATCGTTCGTGACGTGATTCATTAGCGTGCCCTTGCGCACAGGTGTTTCTTCGCACAGCTTGTTCACAGCCGATGAAGTCATCATCCGAGCTGGAAGCGGCCATAAGTTTCCTTGACCACCCTCCGCTGATCTTCAAAGAAGGACATTGCTTTATCCTTAGTGAGAGCTTCAGAGGCATTCTGTGCTGCAACATCTGCTGAAGCACCAACAAGCGTGCTGTTAAAGGATGTTGAAGGCACAACCCAGAAATCCGGTCCTTCTATATGGATGGACTGCACATGCAGAAGGTTGCTGCAGCTAGGGTCATGACGTTCTTCCGAAGGACATGCTCTCGTCCCTGGACCAGGTAGTAGCAGGGTGTCTCGTGCTTGTAGAAGTACTTTGACCGCAGGCAGTACGCTGGGTTCAGGTTAAACCAAGATGGTGCAGCAAGTGAGGCAACCTGCAAAGCATTGCATCGAAGAATGCCAATGTGCCAATGGCACTAATCTTTACAAAAACCGGCCTGTTCATAGGTAAACTTGGTGGGCACATGCTCTTTCACATTGCCAAATTTCGGAACAATCACCCTTAGCTCCGCAGGATTCAAGTCAGAAGTCACTAAGTGGAACGATCGAAGCAGCGCTCTCAATGCCAAGCTTCTGGAGCGCCCACCTCAGCTGGAAAAGCATTTCTGGTTGCTTCGAACTGGCAGCTATGTCACATGATTCTTCAAACACACTCCCTGGATGGCGTGGCCCCTTGACTACCATGAAATCTGAATGGTTCCACTTCCATGTGATGTCTTCGTCAGAGTGTACATTAAACGCTGGTCATTCTTGGTCATAAATCTGATTTTGGTCTTCTTGCAAGCAAGCTTCTGTCATAATGTTGGATCTTAAATAGTATAAACCGTCCCCCCTAGCAAACAATCGAGGGGTCTGAATAGAATCACTACCACCAAAAGTAACAGTAGCTTGGCACCTTCCCACAGTAAGCCCTAAGGAGTCCGTTTTGCACGTTGGACTGCCCGCGTTGGTTGGCGCGTTTTGAGGCCTCTTTCAGCGTTTCGCCTCTCTATTCCTTTCGTTTTGCAACAGTCTGGATTAGGCCATCCTTCTTGAAAATGACAAGCCACCAATGCAAGCCAACGTGCAGAGCACCTCCCATCAACATAGATAAGCCCAAAGAAGAATCCTGGAACTCCGCAAAGCTTGTTGTTGGCAACGTCTAGACCTACTAGTATATGAGCACTGTTAAGCACGTTGGCCACACTTCAGACAGTCCCAAGTGAGGGCGGGGTGGACTCCGCCGGAGTCGAAAACGGGTCTGACGCGCAGAACTGGACTCCGAAGAACCCTGGCTGGAAAAGGGAGCTTTGGGGAGCAGGTGACGTCGTTTTGATCCACTTCCATTGGTCCGTGTGAAACGGCCCATCCATTGGAAGGGGATGGGCTCATCGATGTCGGGTACCGCACCGGCAGTCTCCTGGACGCAGAAGGTGGACGTCAGAGTGCAGTTGGACTTGAGGATGAAAGCCTCGACACGGCGACAGGCGCGCGGCGACACGGCTGTCTAGAAGTGACACTTCTGAAAAAGAAAGAAACAAAACAAAGTGAAGGCACACTCCCGAGGTCCCATGAATTCATGATGACTCAGTCTCGACGAACCCATGAGAAGAAGCGCATGTGTCAGCCCGACTTGCCAACCCAGGGGCGGCCATGATCAAAGCGCAAGGAAGGATCAACAGTTTTTGTGCATAGTCATCCACGACCGAACCTGAGGTTACAAAGGAAAGGAAGAATCTACCGCATGCCGCTCATGCCTTTCATTGGTGCTAAAAGCTTGTGTCTGACTTGGCCCGGCTCAGGTTTTGAGCATGATTTTTTTTGACAAGCTGCTGGAAAAACAGAAGGACGGGACACATCGCAATACACGAAAGTGGTCGAAGAGGATAATAAACCTTCGAATGCACTGGTGCAATCTACAATCTACGGAGACATGACTAAGCAACTTTAATGCTTCCTCCAGTCTGTATATACATTTACACTCTCAGCTGGCATACAGGTGACACGTGCGACAGAATGAGCGCCACTAGGAGGGGCAAGGTGTAGCCACCAGGTAAGAAGAAGATCAGGACCCCTGCGGTTATATTGATGAGAACATCTGCATAACGCCCTGGATCCATTGGCACCAATACCTTCATAGCCTTCCAAGAGTCGAAAACTAAGGGCAAAGTCTGACTCAACTGGTCTGAACCATCTGAAACCAAGATAAAGCTTCAAGCAATGACGCCAAGTATGAAACAATGCAAATACTTAGCTACAGTTCTTGCCCTCTTCTTGCACCAACGCCCAGTGGTGCGCCTTTCAAAACGCCGGGAACCGGGAACGCGCCGCGAACCCGCGCCTGCTGCGCCTTGAATCCCTTGATGTGTGGAAAGCTGGCAACAACCAAGCGTGCCAAGTGAAGTGTAAACCAGTTAGCACCAACAGCTTCTCCTCAAAGCTGCAGAGAAGCTAAGAACTAGACTGTCAAGTTGGATGTCCGGACTCCATGTCCAAAACTTAGTCCAGGTACGTTTTTATATAATTTTATATACAGATTGCAATCAAGCTACACAGAAATCGATTGCGTATGCAGTGTATGTTGTTCAGTATACTTTGGACAAAGACCTCGGTCCTATGAAGGGCACCAGGTACATGGCCGGCCAGCAGTACTTAAAGACCGCTAGACCCAGTTGACGCCTCAGGAAGGTTTTCAACGCCGATGTCAAGCGGAAGGAATTCTCAGATTCTACGCACTCAGGATCTTGATCTGCTCAGTTCTACGATGTTCTTTCTTCTTTGCGACTCATGGTCTGCCTGATTGTTTCATTAAGGCACTGGAGTTCAAAGCTCTCAAAGATCGCTTGAGCTCGCGTCAAGTCCGCAATGAGAGTTCCACCATAGGTCCGTGCTCGTTGGCCCACCTAAGCAGGTCCGTTCTTCGCACCGCGTTTCACGGAGAAGTAGGGAAACACCCACCGCTTCGTTGGTTCCGCTGTCCGAGTCGCCGCCGTGCGATAGGCGATGCTTCCGGTGAGGGCAGCATCCATCATGATGTTGAGCAAGATCGCGAAGGTATAGAGCACCTGAGAAACGGAGGCTCAGCCAAGCTGGCAGGGCAAGCTGTTTGAGCCGCGAGGACATCAGCAAATGGTGAAATTAAATCGGTTCAATAGTTGTTTGTGATACCAGTAGGGCTCACACCATGTAGGCTCCGCCCTCTGCATCACGATTTATGAAACCAATTCGTTTCGCGGCTTCTGCACAGGTCGTGTACATGAAGAGGTTGCCAAGAACCACAATGAGAGTCAGAGAGATGGTCATCCCTATCGATGGCTTGTCGCCGTTGGAGTAGGAGAATGATGAGGCATATTGCGCAAATGGCAAATAGATGAAAAGTGACCAAGCAAAGCTGGCCAACAGGATCATTTTGATGGCTGCCCAAAGCCTCTCCCTTTGCTTCTGGCGGACCACCGCGAAATTCTCCCAGCAAATCCCCATCGGCTCCGAAGTGAGAGGCTTGATCTGCAATGTATTTCCCCTGAAGGAGATGTCTTTCTTTGCAGCCAAGGCAGCATCCCTGCCACTTTCTGTCTTGAAAACCACCAAGGCCTTTGGTGAGCACACCAAGCTCTTTGCCAGGGTTTCTCCCGAAGTCGCCTCTGCCGTTGCCGGTGCAGGTGTAGTCAGTTCAATCCCCAAAACCTGCGTCAACATTAATCGGTCCATCGGGCGAAACCACCTGGGCCGCGACGCTCCCTCCACCGGTGCCCTGGCCGAAGTGGCCGAAGTGGCCGCGGGGTCGGCGGTCTCGGGCGAGCCCGGGAGCTTGTCGAGTGCCCGAACATCAGATTCCAGGAGTTCGGTGATCTTCTCAGCATGCGGGGCGAAATCCCATCCAACCGAAACGCCCACAATCTCCTAAGCTCTTTCACGCAGGTTCAGCTGAAAGGGTTGCCTAGAAATGCAAGCTTCAACACAGCATCCGAGGTCGAGCCTGTCTCAGTAAACACCTATTTTCTGAAGGTCTCCTACGTGAAAACAGCTGAAAACAAAGTCGTGCGCAGTGGAGGTGATGGGCGGGGAGAAAACAGTGGGACGCGATGGGTTGCATGACAAGTCTAGTTGCATGTTGTACAAGTTCTGCAAAACGATTTGAAGCAAGTTTCTTGGGAGGTACCAGTCTGAAGCTCCGTTTTGAGGATCTCTTCCAAGTTTTCCGTACCATGAACGGCAGGCAAGCCATCCACCAAAGCGACAAAATCCGCTTGCGTTGCATCATTGTTCAATCCTTGGAGCATCCCCCCTTAAAGCAAACCGGTCCAAGCCCCACACACAGATGCAACAAACGACCGTGTAAGCTTCGTACGATGAAAGGTCCTCTGCTGGAAGATGCCGAAGCTGATGCACAGGACAAGTGATGCAATGTAGGCGACTAGCAAGAAGTACACCTTCGTGGACATCATCGTTCGCTGTTGCTCAAAGCCTCTGTGGATAACTGCACAAAGTTCCCGGGGCGACTCAGGATCTTCCGTTCCAAGGGCATAGAGACTTCCATCTGTCATCGAAACGGAAGCAACCTGCAGAAACGGAGTCGATTCTGACTATTCTATGTTGATATCTATTTGTGTACAAATACCGTCATATATATATATTATGTATGTACTGATATACTTAACAATTATATATATAGTTATATATATACATATTCAACACAGAGCCCGCCAACTGTACAGTAATGGCAAGCTTCCCGTATACCTCTGGGCAGTCCCTTGTGACGGAGACGATGTCCGACGGTTGTGTTCACTGTTGGTAGGCACGACCCCGACCCCAACGGTGTGAGGACATGATGTGTCACCCAGGCACCCAAAGTGTGGCCAGAACGAGTGCCCAAATCATAATGAAGAGCTGATAGCGGAAGAAGAGCACGGAGCCTGGACCAGCCACAGGTACCTCATTGGCTGAGGTGCGTCTTGATGTGTCTTGGCACGAGGGAATAGCTACAACATGACACACGACAAACAAGAAAGACAGTGGGCCAAAGCCCCCAAAATCATGGTCTAGATAGTCTAGAATGGTCTTGAAGGCTCTTTCGTTCTTGGCTCACAGCCGACCCCCATGGACCAAAAGTCTCGAAGCGAGATGCAGCCAGCGTATTTGTCCTCAAAGGCCATAGTTGACGCTCGGTACCCCGCTCATCGCCAGAGTCTGGCTTGCAAAGCTTGGTTTGAGTTCGAAATTGCAAAGCCTGGGCTTGCTCCTCCAAATTGGTTGCCTTTCGCAACACCAAGCTCACATACCAGGCGACAAAGTAGAGAACAGGAACAAGAAGGATCAAGTAGAGCGAGCCCTTCAAGAGTGATCCCAAGATAGGTATTTGAGAGACACACTCGCCATTCTCCAACCTGAATCCACGCTGGCACTCGGCGCAAACATCGCCATGAGCGGCCCGGTTGCACCGGGAGCAAGCCACGACCACACAGCGTCGGCAGAATCCCCTGGTTTCATCAGGCACTGATTGGGCCAAGTTCGTGTGGGTGTGTTCCAGGCCACAATCGGATGTATTCACACACTTGAAGTTGCAATGCTGCGGCGAAGCCGTATCTTCGGCAAAGAGTGGACAGGCATCTGGGCACCTCTCTGCTTGGTCAATGTCGGTGGCATGTCGTGGTTGGAAGCAACCAGGATGTGGCAAGGCAGTGGACTGCATTCCTTGCACAACAGCTGTTGGACCCAAAGTCTTCGCATGCTGCTCCTTCACGATGTTCGCTTCAGCCGGGTCAGGCACCGGTGGACCAGTACCCTCAAAGTTCCAGATTAACTTCAAAGGACTTGATTCTGATTCTCGAGCTGGTGAAGTTGCTGCGGTGTAATGGACATGTCGTTTGGAGTCATTCTTCAACTTGTCGAAGTCATAGCTCTGAGCAGCGGCGATGGTGTCCTCCACTTGATCTTGAATCTCTACCGGCTTGGAGTCTTCTTCAGTCTCTGGGTCGAGGTTATCGTCTTTCACGTCTGGATCGTCTTGCACATCCTCCTGATCGAGGTCATCGTCTTTCACATCCCGATCATCTTGCACATCCTCCTTGCGAAGCAAAGCACCCGGAGATCCAGATGAAGAAAGTTGTCCGTTGTAGGATACTTTGATCTGTCCATGAGAAACAGGTTTGGCAGAATGCACGATGGTTATGAGACACGCAATCCCAAGCAGCATGGCATGTGATCTGCACATGCTAGGCTTGTCCCGAGTCCAGTCACATGATCTGGACTTGAGTCAAAACCCTGCACCAAACATGTCAAGCTAGAGGCGAGGTAGCGAAGCATGGTCAATTTCAAGAGCTACCTGGCCCACAAGAGCAAATGATGTCTCCACCTCCTTCAGCTGCGCTATCTGAGCTGAAGTCCTCTCCAATTCTGTAAAGGCCTTGTGAGAAGCATAGAAGGGCGCGGCTATCTCTTGATGGCTATATAATGCTAGATCTCTCTATGTGTATGTGTATATTATATATTATACTATATTATATTATATTACATTATAAGATGCTGACAGAACGAGAGGTGCATGAGTCTGAGCTTGCAGCCATAGTTTGAGTATTTGATAGCATATCAGATCGTTGGGCCAGTTGGCCTTGCTCCTGATGTCTCCAAGTCACAGGTCTTAAACTCTCTTGGTCTGCGCTCTAAACACCAGCAGCAGTTGCGATTCAGTGAGTTTTCTAGCTGACGCTTCAATTGCTCAACAGCCCAACAAGGGGTTTGAAAGATTGGACCAACCTGTTGCTTTCACAGACTCCACCGTTTTTGACGGTCGTTGCTCTGGCCCCGTTCTCCACACATTGCGCCAGGAGACCTCCCGGTATCCATCTTGCAAAGATTGTTTCTGGTAGCGAGACTCCTCGAGCAAAACTCCCAGGGTCTGGCATTGCTTAAGACGTTTTGCTAGGAAACCTACACAAGCATGAGCACCGAGGAAAACATTGACATGGTTTGCTTCACCGAAATGTGACCCCAGGTTCTGGCAAAATCCAACAAAAATCTCTTGTAGCAGGTACTTGAGCTTTGGACTTCACTGTGTTTCAAGACCTGACTCACGGCTTTCTCCAGCTTCTCCTAGCAGTCTGCGTCTTGTGGTGAGTCAGAACAAAACGGGCTCAGCCGACATCCGAATCATGTCGCAAACAATCAGACCAGACATGGGTAGCTTTTCTCACTCCTTTTCCAGCTCGATTTGCTCCAAATCCTGACAAGACCAGTTCCCTAGGACCGTCTGAAAACCTCAAATAATGGTCATGGCAGGTTTTTGTCTGACCAACCTCTCCGTCGGCCACGCCTGCTGTTCTTGTTGCAACTGCCGCGCCAAGGTTCCGAGCATTGCCTCGTCGTCGGAACTTTTGATGGTTCGCTCCATGAGATCCTGAGGTGACCCCAAAACTGGGCGAGAAGGGGCGACCTACTGGCGATGGCCTCCAGCCTACTGGCGATGGCCTTCAACCTACTAGCGACTAGCGATGGCCTTCAACCTATACTATAGCAGTGGCCTCAACCTACTGGCGATGGCCTCCAGCCTACTGGCGATGGCCTTCAACCTACTAGCGACTAGCGATGGCCTTCAACCTATACTATAGCAGTGGCCTCAACCTACTGGCGATGGCCTCCAGCCTACTGGCGATGGCCTTCAACCTACTAGCGACTAGCGATGGCCTTCAACCTACTAGCGACTAGCGATGGCCTTCAACCTATACTAGCAGTGGCCTCAACCTACTAGCGATGGCCTCCAACCTACTGGCGATGGCCTTCAACCTACTAGCGATGGCCTTCAACCTACTAGCGACTAGCGATGGCCTTCAACCTATACTAGCAATGGCCTCAACCTACTAGCGATTGCCTCCAACCTACTGGCGATGGCCTTCAACCTACTGGCGATGGCCTTCAACCTACTAGCGACTAGCGATGGCCTTCGATCTACTAGCAATGGCCTCAACCTACTAGCGATGGCCTCCAACCTACTTAGCGATGGCCTCCAACCTACTAGCGATGGCTACTAGCGATGGCCTCCACTAGCGATGGCCTCCAGCCTACTAGCGATGGCCTCCAACCTACTAGCGATGGCTTCCAACCTACTAGCGATGGCATTCAACCTATACATACCTATACTAACTAGCGATGGCCTCCACTAGCGATGGCCTCCAGCCTGCTAGCGATGGCCTCCAACCTACTAGCGATGGCCTCCAACCTACCCTACTAGCGATGGCCTCCAACCTACTAGCGATGGCCTTCAACCTACTAGCGATGGCCTCCAACCTACTAGCGATGGCCTCCATCCTACCAGCGATGGCCTCCACTAGCGATGGCCTCCAGCCGACTAGCGATGGCCTCCAACCTCCTAGCGATGGCCTCCAACCTACTAGCGATGGCCTCCAACCTACTAACGATGGCCTTCAACGTACTAGCGATGGCCTCCAGCCTGCTAGCGATGGCCTCCAACCTACTAGCCATGGCCTCCAACCTACTAGCCATGGCCTCCAACCTAATAGCGATGGCCTCCACTAGCGATGGCCTCCAACCTATACTAGCGATGGCCTTCAACCTGTACTAGCGATGGCCTCCAACCGTAGCGATGGCCTCCAACCTACTAGAGATGGCCTCAACCTACTAGCGATGGCCTCCAACCTACTAGCCATGGCCTCCAACCTACCAGCAATGGCGTCCAACCTATAGCGATGGCCTCCACTAGCGATGGCCTCCAACCTATACTAGCGATGGCCTTCAACCTATACTGGCGATGGCCTCCAACCGAATAGCGATGGCCTCCAACTTACTAGAGATGGCCTCAACCTACTAGCGATGGCTACTAGCGATGGCCTCCACTAGCGATGGCCTCCAGCCTACTAGCGATGGCCTCCAACCTACTAGCGATGGCTTCCAACCTACTAGCGATGGCATTCAACCTATACATACCTATACTAACGATGGCCTTCAACCTACTGGCGATGGCCTCCAACCTACTAGCGATGTGTTTTACGATGTTTGACGCTATGGCGCACAGATTCGCACAGAAAAGCGCCGTTGTGTTCTTCCGATGTTTCCAAAGGCTTTTGGCATGAAGAAGGCCAGTCTGAGGTGCCAACCTGCATTAGACCATCAACATGCTGCTGAATGGTTTTGAGCTGGTTGCGGTTCTCGCTCAAGGAGCCCTGACAATTGATCAGTGAGTGCAATTCGGGGTCAGGGTCACCCAACCCTGCACCTCCAACTGGGCCACTCTGGACACCTTGTCAGCTAGATCTTTCTTCACAGCCTCAGCTGATCGCTTCGTCTGAAAAACGACCTTCGCATCAGACGTCATCAACGACCGATCTTCGACTGCTTTATTTCGCCGCACCGCTTAAAACAGAAACGTTTGTTGGTTCAAGCTAGACAGCTAGACGGTCTTCCAATCGGCCCAAAAGCCGCTTCGCTGTTTTTTGAGCTTTGAGGGTCCTGATAGCTCCTGAAAGGTGCCTCTGGTCCCCTGAGCGTCGCTACTTCGGTGGCACTCTTCGCTCTTGCACCTTCCTGGCGACCAAAAAGGAGAAACGGCCGCGCTGCCGTGCGCGCGCGGTGAATTGGACGCACCGAACTGGGTGCAGTTCCCGGCATCGAACTTGGAGGTGGGATGCCAGGACCCCGAAAACAGCTTCTTGCAAGCCTATATGGAGGTTGCAAATGGGCGAGGGTCAAAAGTTGCACTTTTTGCTGGGCAAATGCAGTTTCACTACAGGTTGTGATTGGATTACCCAATTACTGTATGAAGAGAACAAAGAACTGGACTACAGATGGTCCCTACCACGAGTCGCTGTTTGGTACTTCGAGACCAACATCTGTCATATTCAGAACGGCACCGGTCGTATCGCGAACAACATGTTGAAATGCAAATCATGTGAATGTCAATTCGAATCCGAGGCCGCGCCACTCGGCGCTCGGCGCGGCACGGCGTCTCCCAACCGCCCCGCCTCTCGGAGCTCGGAACGCAGCTCGAAGGCTTGTTGCTCCGCTTGCTGCAGACCTGAGGAGACTCTTCGGTTCGAAGAACCCGGGTTGAGCTCTCTTTTGTTTCGCATCTCTTGGGATTCCGATCGATTCTACAACGAGTTGAGCTATGTTTACGATTTAAATCGTCTTCCTCACCCGGGATTCATCTGGTGGAAAAGAGGAAGGAGGAATCCAAAAGAGCAAGCCTGTATGAAGGTATCTGAAGAATACGAGTTCTTTGAAAGGAGAGATGTACAAAAAGCGATTGTCCAAAAAGGAATACCTCTTCCTTCAACCTCTTTGTACTCAGAGCCAAGGAACAAAATTAAGCTTAGTCAAGTTGGAAGCTGGATGAACTTGATCGAATCTACTGTACAGTATATACTACCATCTGCTATGATCGGTTGATCTGCTGAACATGCTGTAAACAGAACCCTTCCATGATCCACCTACTCTGATCTATACATATATATGTATTATATACAGTATTGTCAAGTATAATAAACTGACCAAGCACATGAAAAAAATGAAAAAAAATTGACTCTCTCACCTTTTTTGGAGAAGGAATCCTCCAAACCTCGCTCTTGGGATTTTCTGAAGCTCCAGCGAGCTTCACCACCACCGAAGGGCGCAGGCGTCCTTCCCCCAAACCCCCTCGTCCTTCCTTCGGTCCAAGCAGCGCTCCTGTGCATCCCTCTGGCGCTCCTCCGCGGCCGCCAGGTGTTGCCCGTCGGCGCTCCGCTGTGCCTGAGAGGTGAATGGTCTGGGTGTCGGACGAGAGGGGGGTCCGAAGCACAGAGGACATCATCTGGAAGGGTTTCCAGTTTCCAGGATCTGTGGCTTTTGGCCAAGAAAGAGCTGAAATCCTGCTTCGCACGTTTCAACATGAGTCTGTCAGGTGATGTCAGGCGCACGCGAGAACTCAAACTTGTTGGTTATTTGCCAGAGACGTTCCAGGCATCAAAGAGTAGCCTGTTCAAGGCGGAAATCTGATTTCCAAGCCTCAATGGAGGTAAAGGAAGACATTGCCTGGCAAGTGGTCTTGATTTGGGAAAAGACGCCAACGTCTTTTCAAGGAAAATCTGGCTGGAAAGCCCAGCCCTCACAGCCCTCACCTCTTCTAGCTCTTTCTGCAAGGCATCCATAAAGTCATTCTGTACTCCCTGAAAAGATTTCGGAAACGGGATTTTGATAAATTGATGATTGACAAGAAGAACACCGCTAAATCTGTATGTGCAGAAACAATAAGTCAAGTATGCTCTGACAGCCTGCTCTTGCGAAGCTTTCTGAGCAAGGGCCTGGCACATTTGACTATATATTATAGTTGCCAGGCAGCTCCGTCAGCAAGGCCAGCTGTGCTTCTCGCTTCCAAAAGCACAGCTAGACCGCTTTCATTGAAAGAAACGAGAGTGTCCGCAGCAATGAGCAGAATGGAACATGGCGCAATACACAAAGACGTGGGCAGCTTCAAAAGGTTCCTTTCCTAGAGACTGTGCTTGGCCTTGGTGATGGTTCTGAAGTCGAATCAACAGGTCTGCTCTGCTTCAGTTTCTCTGTAAAGCCCTTACATGGTGTGTCTCCTATCTGTGCACTTTTGGGGGATGGGTCAAAACACCAAGAAGGATCCGAATCCCCGAACCCCCTCTTCATCCCCTCCAAAATTGGAACTCAAGCTTGTACCACAGTTTGGGCACTTCCCCACTCCTGCTTCTGTTCATCCAGCTCCTCAATGGAAGTCGCCAGCTCCTGTGCCTGCAAATGGGAGACGATGGAGACGAGAGACGGGACCTCGTGCGGTTTTTGGTCGGCCTCTGAGCGCCAGTGGTCCAACTCCACAGAAGCCGACTTCACTTCGGAGTCAAAGTCATTCTGGGCTTTGCTCGCACCTCACAGCTGCGAGGCAGAGAAAAGGTACGAACCAAGAAAAAGTGTGAAAGAAGTATCAAGAAGTAAAGAAAAAGCAAGACAAGCAAGACGAACAAATGTGCTTTCGAACTGATGATGAAAGACCGGCTAGACCGTCTTCTTCTGAGTGTTCAAAAGCTTTTCTTCAGCTCCTGGCTCTCCCTCCACTGTTCACGCTCTCGAAGAGTCTGTGAAAGCTGGCGCTCCGTCTGCACAGGAGAACAACGAGCAAAATCGTGGTGTGCCGATATATTTGCGTCAGGCTCATAGCACAAAGCAAGAGTTTCGTAGCATTTCGTAGCCAGCTACGGGCCAGTTCACTTGGGGCTATCTGGCTGTGCCAAACCTGGAGCCCCTTTCACCCGACCGGGTGAACACCATGTCGTCGAGATCGTCACTTTTCTCTTCGGTTTTCATTGGTCCCAGTGGTCTCTCCGGTCCCGGTGGGTCTCTCCCACCCACCGTGTCCACTTCCTTTTCGCACCTCGTCATGATTGCTTCGCAGCTCCGCCACCGAAAGGGTTCTCAATCGAAGCGTCTCCTAGCCGAGAGCAACGGTTCTTTCGAGACGTTGAACCATGGACGGGGAGTGATAAAAACCATGACAACGAAAGGGGAAATACAAGCTTGGGCAACGCTTTTGCAGTGGGTCTGGCACGGTGTCTTTTCTGTCTTGGGACTCGAATCCCAGGGACCCTTCTTCGTTGTCTTGGTGGTTTTCTCGAAAAAGCAAGTGCACAGTATCCGTGTTGCCTTCGCCTCGCTCATGGAACGCTGCAGCCTACTGATCTCTGTCTCTGTAATCAGCCTCAGGCAAGGGCAGCTTATGTCTGTCCAAGCTTCGCACCTGGTCGACTTGCTCTGAGCTGCCGGCTTTCTATCATTCACGTCCTTCACTTCCGTCTCAATTTGGGTCCAACGGTCACGCATTTTTGCTACCTGAGCTGGTGAAATGGAAGATTCCAAAGATTGGAGAAAAAACTAAACATGTTTCTTACTTCCTTCTAGACAGGCCTCTTGCATGACCTCTTTCAGCTGTTCCTCTGCAGAACTCGCCTGGAAAGATCGACGGATGTTTACCGATCTGATCGGGCCATGCGTTGCAAGCCTGTCTTTTGGCATCGCTCATTGCTGAGATCTTTGCCTCGGATCCGAATCAACAGGAGGCAGTACCAGTTGGATGTAGAGTTCGGAGGCCCCGTCAGGGAGATATTAGGGAGACCCCTATAGTCTGTAGTACTCCATTATACCCCCCGCCAAGTAGCTTAGTTGAAATTCATCTCAGCCCTCCCTGACTCCTGGAGCAGGTCTAACTGGGCCTTTGGCTCGAATGGCAGCCATCTCTCTTTCTTTGGCCTGTATCTCCGCTGCCTGCAAAACCGACTTTCATGTCGGGCTCTTCGACCCCAACCTTCTTGCGTGCATTGTCTTGCATGATCATGCGAACATGAAGGCCACAGCAAGCACAAAGGACAACATAGGCCACAAGTCACACAGACAGACAGCAGCAAAGCAATCAAGCCAAAGACGGTCCGATGGATTTTCTCACATATTAGCCAAGGAATTAGCAGAAGAATGGTCCGCATTCACATCCACTCTGCAAGTCTTTTTTTCGGGGAAAGCACCTATATTATAAGCATTCTATGTTGTCAGAACAATATAGAACATCTACCTCCAAGATAAATGATAAGCTGCTGATTGAGACCATCATATCTTCGACCGATGGTCCTCCTCCACGTCGCCTTACGGCCTTACGTCGGTCACCGGGTCATCCTCCGTGGCCTCTTGGTCCAAAAGCGAGGGGCGAGCAGCCAGCGCTGACGTTCGCTCCCTGGCCTGGACCGCTGCGCGCTTTGGTGGACGGAGGAGCGCGGTGTGAGCAACGGTGAAACTCACCGGGTGGGCCTGTTGCTTGTTCAGCTCAAGCTCCCGTTCCAACTTGGAGAAGGCATGCTGGAGAGCTTCCAAATCCTGCGGGAATGGACACGAAATGCTTCGGAATTCGAGGAGTCAGGAGTCCTCAAAGCCATTTTTGCCTCACAAGAGCGCAAAGAATTGCTCCTTTACACCTCTTAATATAGCATTCAAAAAACGCTACACTGGATTCTTGAACATTCGAATTCGACCTACCAAATGTCTTGATGTCCGTGTAGGAATCAAAAGAAATGTCCTTTGGGGGTCTCATGGATCAGCAAAGAAGACACCCGAACGACGTGCGCCCCCCCATTCGCGAACTTGGTTCCCAACCAATGTCTGCACTGGACCCGTACTCCAACGTCACAAAAATCCTTAGCACCAATGAAATCGTCGAACGTTGCCTGGTCTTGCATGTGACATGCTGTGTCTATTTATGCCAGTTCCTGTGAATGAAGGCTTTCTTGGGGACAGACCAGACTTGCCACCGACCGTTTCACACTTCTGGCACTGAAGTTTTAGTCAAGGACAACTAGTAGGCAGGAACGGAACCTAGCCAAAAATTAAGCAAATAATTTCACCGGGCGGTAAATTTTAAAACCCCCTCACCTCAAATCCTCTGCTTACTAGAGCTCCTCACTTAAGATGTATATATTTGTTTGCTTCATGTTTGCTATTGCTTTGCTTTGACTAATGTTCCTTAATCCTTGTTCCTTACTAAGTTTCCTAGGTCCTTTGGGTCCTGTCCTACTACCTGTCCTACTACTGGCAAATAAAAGGAGAAGAAAGGAAAAGGATAAGGAATTGTAATTTATCAATGCATTTGTCGTCTCGTCCAGCACGTGGTGCAGTAGTAAGCAGCAAGCATTCATGCCTACTACACTGCAAAGTATCAGACGTGAGTCCAACGGCTGTTTTCATTCAATCCCGGTCCCCATATATCGTGTCCCGTTTACATGAGCAACTGCGCAGTGTGCCCACTGGTGGGCTTGTAGTATAGGATCCGAGATGGCGGGTGCTAGAATCAAAGACAAAATAAAATGTGTCCTCAAATCATTTAATCCCGACGTCATAGTCTTGTCCCATTTCTTTGAATGTGTATGTATGTATATATATATATATATAAATATACATATCTCGATAAAGGCTTTCACAAGGTAGCACCCAACATGATTGAAAGACACACATTTTCTGCTTACTACCTCTTGAGCCTGGCTGACCAAATCTAGGCTTACATATAGGTCCGCTCAAAAACCCCCAAAAAACAGCCTCGAGCAGCTGTGGTAAGCAGGATTTTTTCTGCCTACTGGCTGTCCGTGACTATACTAGTCAGTAGAGTCAATATGGTCTTGTGGGAATTCATGGGTCATGATGGGTCTTCAGGTCGCTGCGAGTTCGAGCCTTTTCAGGATCTCTGACATGAAAATTCCCTGTGAACTCAAAAGCCTTGGAACCAAATACTGCCATCATCGCTAGAATATGCTATAATCACATGGCTTCTTAATACTACCTGCTGATGGGGACAATGAGGTGCAGCTCTCAAGAGGAGCAGGTCAATGCATGTCATGAATCTCGACATGTCAAAGCCCTAGTGCCACAGACCCCAGAGTCATCGGGATTGGATTGTCCAAGAGACCCCACAGTTCAAAAAACAGAAGAATCATCCCCCAAACCTCTTACAGGTATACTGACTGAATGGGCCTCATCTCTGGTTGGATACCTTCGACACTGTTCTTGCAGTACAACTTGCACTGATGGGGAAGCACCCCCACTGGGGCCAAACCCCTGACGGGCCCGACGGGCCCAACGGGCCCGACGGGCAACGGGCCCAACGGGCCCCCAACGGGCCCCCAACGGGCCCCCAACGGGCCCCCAACGGGCCCCCAACGGGCAACGGGCCCAACGGGCCCCCAACGGGCCCCCAACGGGCCCCCAACGGGCAACGGGCCCGCCATGCGTTGTCTCCACATGATATTTTAAAAAAAACCTTATAATACAATTGTTTATTTAGTTAGTTACTTAGTTAGTTAGTTAGTGAGTTATAGTTAGTTAGATAGCTATTTAGTTAGTTAGTTAGTCAGTTAGTTAGTCATAGTTAGTTAGTTAGTTAGTTAGTTAGCAATTTAGTTACTTAGTTAGTTTGTTTGTTACTTACTTAGTTAGTTTTATAGTCAGTTATAGTTAGTTAGTTAGTTAGCTAGTTCGTTACTTAGTTAGCTAGTTATAGTGAGAATTAGTTACTTAGTTAGTTAGTTACTTACTTAGTTAGTTAGTTAGTCATAGTTAGTTAGGTAACTAGTTACTTAGTTAGTTAGTTAGTTACTTAGTTACTTAGTTACTTAGTTAGTTTTATAGTCAGTTACAGTTAGTTAGTTAGCTAGTTAGTTACTTAGTTAGTTAGTTGTAGTGAGAACTACTTAGTTAGTTAGTTAGTTTGTCTTAGTTAGTTAGTTAGTTAGTCAGAAGCGTTCTCCTTTTGCCCGCTTTCTTTCCTATCTTCTTTTTTTTGCTCTTTTGGAAGGGGCCACCTGCTCATTAAACGTCAGGGCCCGGAACACAAAGCGGGGGAGATTGAACCTGGAACCTGTGAGGTCTGAAGCTAACCGAATGGGAAAAAGACTTATCTTACTGCCAGAGGCTATGTGGAAAGGAGGCCACATGTATTGACACACCATGTTCCGACTCTTGTTCTGACGGGCAACGGGCCCAACGGGCACAACGGGCCCAACGGGAACCCAACGGGAACCCAACGGGAACCCAACGGGAACCCAACGGGCAACGGGCCCAACGGGCCCCCAACGGGCCGGCCCCAGTGAGGGTGCGACCCCACTGATGGAAGCGGAGCCCTTATCGATCTTATCGCAAAAGAATGCAAAAGTGGAGTCCTTCAAAGGAGTCCAAAAAGCAACGCAGGATAGCACGAACAAGGCAGGATCGAACAGCCAGTAGTTCCACTGCTGCGCAGTTCCGGTGGTATTTGGAGACAGCCCGGCAGCGCGGCAGCGCGGCAGTCCTTCAACGGAAGTGGTTAGCTCGATCAGACCAGGTGCTGGCGCAGCTCAGCTTGGGGATCGTCGGATGTTCGGACTCCCCACCCCAAAGTCTGAAGGTCTAAAGCACCAAGTCTTCCAAGCATCTGAGGCTGGTCAGGACTTGGCTGCACCTGCCAAGTAGTATGCTACGCCGGCTACGTGGGCTACGTGGTGCTTGGTCGATTTGGATTCCCCATTCCAATCCCTGATAAATACTTTATGATTACCATGTGGAACCATGTGACTAGGCCTGAGGCTTCAACAAAGAGGTCAAGCCACTGCTTCTTGCCTGATCGAGGGTGGCACAAGCATCTCCAGGCGGCAACAGCTCCACCTGCACAAAGCCCCGATCCGAAGCCACGAAGCCCGAAGCCGACCGAACGGACCGAACGGACCGAAGCACACGGTGGTGACTCAGCCGACCTCCTCCCAGCTTCACCGACCTCTCCCCCCCCCCCCTCCCGGTGAGCATGGACTTCCGTAACGCAGAGCTTCCACCCACGAAGTTCCCGGTCGATTTCTGAGTGCCGCACCCACGATGACCAAGGTATCCCGGTGGAGAGCAAAGACAGAGGGATCTTCCGCTCGCAGACGTAAGCCTGCGTCTGAGTGTTCCTGCCATTCTGAGCATTTCCAGCAGAGGCGAAGGCGAAGCGTCTGATGCAAAAGGCAAAGAGAAAGCGGTCATTTAGTAGCTTCTTGTTACTAGTGGCGATGGCCTCCAACCTACTTGCGATGGCCTCCACCTAGTAGCTTCTAGCTACTAGTAATAAGCATTGATCCTAGGTGGTATCATTTTGCATTGCATGCTCAAGTCTCTCAAGTCCTGATGGATATGCACAGGGTGTCATTGCCGCCGGACCTCGTTGCAAGGTCTGGTTGAAGACATCAAAAAGACATTGACCCCTTGGTGCGACAGCGATGATCGAAATCGCGGAAAACCTGGTTCCTCGATTTCGACACCAAGTCACACATCCAAAGCCACTTTGTCTTGGACGAGACCATGCCCCGGAATGAAGGACTTGGAGGCCTCCGTCGCAAAAGCGCACCGTCACAGAGAATTTGCGACTCACTGAAGTGAAGGCTAAGCTGAGCTTTGCTGCCTTCAGGTCTGATACCAAAGCTCCAAGGGTCAGATTCTTTGTCTGAGTGATGCTCACCAGGAGGCGCATTGCCTCGATAGCTGACGCGCGAAGAGTATGTCAACATGTCCAAAAAAAGAAACGCAAAGTCATGCGTGCCTTCTCGGTATTCTGCAGGCATGTCGGAAGAACAACGGCTTTTGCCACATTAGAAAACACACCAAGGCAAATCAAGTATCACACTTTGAAGCAAATGCTGTCTTAGACTGTTTTCGTAGAAGAGAACGATCCGGGCACAAAAAATGCCGATGCAAACGCAGTCGTGACGGTGACTGAACTGTGTGCTGCTGATGTTTTCCGGAGGTGAAGAATATGTCCAACCCAATGGAAGAAATGCTGGTAGTTTTACATCCAAAATGCTGTTCTAGATTCATGAAGATTCCATGTCTCTCTAAGTTATGATTTTCTCAAGAGCCAGGACAAATGAGCCCGGGAGTGCGGACATGACATCACGGGCCAGAAAAACGAGAGAAAAGGATGAAAAAGAGGCAATGAAGTGTTCAAGGGGTAGCCTGTTTGCATCGCCCCGTTCGTTCGGCGGACTCGTTCCGGTTGCCGCACGGCGGAACACCGCAACCCCGTCGGTCGCTTGTTCCGTTCTGTTTGGTCTTTCCTCGCAGCGCTGCGCTTTCGGTTCACTCAGAGTCGCCAATGCGAAGCCGCCTCAGTCTGCGAATATAAAACCACAGTAGCTAGAAGCTACGCACGGTGGAGGCCATCGCTATCAGGGTGGAGGCCATTCCTATTAAACTACTAGTAACAAGAAGCTTCCAAAGAGTTCCAAACATCGCGCCTGCCAGCACACGGACGTTTTCTCGTTTCCCCCCACCACGCCAACCGCCCAAAATGGGTTCTCATGCAGCGCCGCAACGCACGATTTCCTTCTGAATGTTCCTTCTGCTAGACCGCTAGCCGCTAGACCGAGTAATCCAAGTCGAGTGTTTTCGTTGGTGAAAAAATAACATAGAAAGCAAAAGCACGAGCAGCAAGAATCACCAGTGAACACGACGGTCAAACGCCAAGTCACTGGGTCTGGCCAATAGCGATAGCAAGAGGTCAAACCCCGCCTAAGTGAGCGGCGTTGCATTCTCACCACGGTTTCTTCGCGCGTTGGGAAGAAATGTCGAAGAATATTCCGTCAAGAACCAAGTGACCGATGATAGCTTCCAGGCTGATGTTCGGAACCATCCTGGAAAAAGAAAGTATATAATGAGATTGTGCAGGCAAACTGTTGGCAACATCATCATCAGTATCTCTCTGTGTGCCACGCATAAATCAGGGCCGTCTTGGGAATCAACTCTCCTTCCTTTTCACCTGTCATTTCCCAGGCTCCCAAGCTCCACAAAACCAAATAACACAAAACAAAAAGGATCGGCGACGTTGGCCGGTGACTTACGCCATGCCTTGGACCATTTCAATGCCTTCCTTTTCGGCAGGATCGAGCCACCTGGAAGGTGGCAAGAAGCCGGAAACAACCGCTGGTCCTGTGGCTCGAAGACCCCCTCATTTCAAGCAACAAAAGAGCGTCTACTGGCCTATTGGCCCACAGGTCCAATAGCCGGACTGGCTTGGGTGGAGGAGGATCTGTCGAGTCCTGCACTAGCCCTTCTGACTGCCAGATGTGCCAAAAATGTGCAAACTACCAAATCCAAATCCCGTCTCCTCCTCAGGTGTCAAAACAATTTCGTCAATCCGCAGCATCGTCACGTGTTGCCTAGCAAACCAATGACCGGACCTTCTATCCATGATCAGTTGGCGTCCAAAGGTTCAGGCCGCCGGCGGTAGAAGCCCTGTTGCCTTCGCCGGGGCTTGTACCTCCAACTGAACTGCCAGGGGGGTGCTGATGGACCTCTCAGGCTCTCAGGCTTTAGTATGTTTCGATTGCTAAAACAGCTTCTCGCGCACCAAAATACATGCATTTCCTGCGAGAGGGTCTGCTGCCTTACTTTTGACTGCAAACAGTTTGGAGGCAGTGAGCGTAACTGTAACATTGACTACACAGTGCTGTCGTGGCTTGCACTCGACCACCGAGGCACGGGCTCTATGGTTGCCTTTACTTTCGCATAAGGCCTGCAGTCTTTGCGTTTTCCGTGTACTAGTACTTCACACTGGGACCCTGAGAACTTCCAAACACGTCACGTACTCTAAGCCCCAGGCACTGTGGGTTTCCCCAGTATTGTGAAGTCCTGGCTTTCAAAAGCGGCTCGGCCAAACTGACGAAAGCGCGAGTTTGCTGCCTTTTCTCTCCAATTACTCTCCTTGGACCCCACCAGCAGCACCGTCCCAAAGACCACCTGGACCGAGGCTCAGCCGGAGCGCGCCGTGGCTTCCGACCGCGCCGCGTTCGACCGCGGTCCGTGCGTCCGGACGGACGGTGTGTCGTGTCTTCCACACGATGGCACAAGGTGTTTGCCACGGAAAGGGAAGTCGATCCAACGGATTCGGTGGGGAACGATCGGTGACACCTGAACAAACAACTCCAGGTTGGTAAGCACCAAACCCTCTTTGCAGCGTCGCTTCTTTCGATATTGTTACAGGAACAACTCTATACTCTATCATATACATTCTGTGTAGATGCACAGTGCATTCAGACCCCCAAACTACTGAGCCGGCCAGGTTCCAGCAACCTTTTTTCCGTTTACCTTCCTTGATGGCCTTCTTGATGTTTTTGCCGGCTATTGGCACCGGATGGCAAGAGTGTTTCACGACGGTTTGGGTTTGGGCGATATGTCTTGCAAAGAATCTGGTTGTGATAACGCGTGAAACAATCAGCCTATAGTTCAAGGACCGTAAGCAAATGTTGTTCCACGTCCAGCACACGCTTGAAAGCAAAGAAAGGCTAGCTTGCTTGCGTGGAAGATTACTTTTCCTTCGATACCTTTCACTATTTGTTCGGAATTTGGTTCTGTGAAAAGGCTGGTCCGCATGAATCGGCGTGTTAGAATGATCTGTGGTGGTGCGAACGGCTGCCGTGTTAGATCGGATCGAGGAAGGGGGGCCGTCCATCTCCCATGACTGCTGACGTGCTCTGTGCTGACGACGATCGGCGAGCGTCCGTTTGAATTGTCCAGCCTTCCATTCATAAACAAAACTTCCTCTGAGCCCCTTGTGATCTGGGCCATCTCTGGACCAACCGCGAGGTACCTTCTCTCCTGCGTCTCGACGATGAAGCTTTTCTGCTTGCACAATGTCACCAACCTGAGGACTACTTGTGCAGCGGGAACCGCTGGCCAGCAAAGTCAAGACCTATGGCATGTTGAAAGGATGAACAATGAGGAACATCCATCCAGAAGTTCATAAATGGCTCTGACGGCTCAAGCAACAGCTATTGGCAGCTAAAGGTGCGTGCTGATGGGTGTGCAATTGTGACATCGTAGCCAGTCCAGCCGCCAGTGTTCACAAATGAGAAATTATGTTATCCCAACATCACCCATGGACTCGCACGTTTCTGTAAGCCAACAAAGACCTTCCTTTGGCAAGTGCAAATGAGCTCTATTGCTGCATCAGTATAACATATTGTCCAAGAATGGTCTCCATCAGGACTTTGACAGATTCTCTCCTGTTGGGGCTTCGAGTATGATAGCACCCGGAGACCGTTTCACTCAGCACAGGATTGCACATGCAATCCTGTCTGTGGGTCATAGCACCCAGAGACCGTCCCGACCAACACGCGCGTTCAGGTCGAAATCGCTACATGGTGGACTGGTCGGGGCTCCAGGTGTTGACCGGTATGAGAAGTGAAGAACCAAAGATCGCGACTTGGCTCCGGGCAGTGACTTTGTGTTGATGAAACACACTGCCTTGGAGCAACGAGCAGAGACAAGTGAGGTACGAAGAGGACGGGCTGCTTGTCAAGCTGCTCTTAAACACGCAGAACAGCTCCTGCTCCTTTATCCTGTCACTCAAGAAGCTGTTTCTGCAAACGTCCATACCAATTCCAGAGAGAAAAGCTGCGGCCTTTTAAAGGTTTCAGGCTCCGGTAGTTCCGGCAGACGAGTCCTCACACAAGGTACCAGGTAGACATAAAGTAAAAATCTGGCGTTTTTCAACTCCTAAAATGCCCACGGCATGCGGGTCCTGTGCGGCATTTGGTCATGCCAAATAAAGGAACAAGTCGGTTTATTGCCTGCAAACAGCGGAGGTCACAATTCCAAACAAACAGGGATTTATGATGATCGATTCCATCCAAGGGACGTGGAAATTCCGTTCTCGTGGGTTTCCAATGCCGTGCAATCTGCAGGCAAGCGCAGATAGAGTCGGGCAAAGCTGCTTCTTGACATGGCTTTCACACGTTCGCTGAGCAAAAGAAGACTCATCAAAGCGTCAAATCGATTTGGTATGGAGAAAGAACACGTTTAACCTCAGCTGGGATCGCTTTTAACTCACCAATGTCATCTATCCAGCTCTGCGATGAGGCACCCTCATACGACTTGTCGAGAAGCGAGTGGTCCATTGCCAGCGGAGCTTCAAATCACCTGGGATTTATCAGACGTGACTACAGTAGGCATGCATCAGCAAAAACGCACATCACTTAGACCCAAACTGTATGTAAGAACCTCATTCATGTTCAACTCAACGTCTTGCAATGGGTGCTTGGGGATTTTCGGCGGCATGTACCTGCAAAGCCATCTCATGCGAAGCTCGCTTCACTTTCGCAACTCAAGGACTCAAAAACGCATCACGCATAGGCGAGGCTGTTGGTCCAACTTCCTGAAATCCCCCCCCACGGGCCAATGCGGCCAATGTCTTCAACTACAGCCCGGTACCCCGCGCTGTTCCTCACCAAAGTCACTCTTTTGCTGCCCCAAGTCTCGGCACGTTTTCACAGCGCTAGCCTAAACGAAACGCTAGAGCCTCATCCATCCGAAAGGACGTCAGATCTCGGTGCGGTTTTTGACCTCCCCGGGGGCACGAGGGGCGCTTGCGCGACCTCGGCGGAGCGAAGAAGAAACACGGAGAAACACATTGCGGTCTCTCTTCAGAGAGCGGAGAAGACTGAGAAGACTGAGAAGATGAATGTGGATGTCAGAGCGATTTCTAGAGACATCAAATGTATGAATGACATTGTGCCTCAAAATGTCTCCAACATTGGAGCAGTGATGTAACATGCTCTGAATTGAGCAGCCTCCCTTTCGGAGCTTCAACCGCGCAACCTCCGCTGAACTCAGTTCACTGCCCCTGGATCACTTCCATCTTATGCCCGAGAATATGACCTGCGCGTTTCGGCCGACCATCGGACGCCGCTCGCTCATTGATGAGACAGACTCGTTGATGCCGCTCGTTGAGGACAGACCTGTTGCTTTGACAGGATGTCGAATAAATCCACGCACCTCGGCTGCACAACGAAGTGCCTCTCAAAACGTCGTTGAAACCGCCTGCCGGGCCTATCGGCCTGCCACTGGCACCCTACCGGGCTGGGAGCCCGACGCCTCCTAAGGCCGTTTGGGTCCAGCTGGAAGGCCACCATCCTCAAACGTCGCTCTCCCGTCCAGGTCTCGGCTCTCAGCTACTCCACTCTCGGCTCTCAGCATGCGAAACATTGAACATTAAAACCTGGAAAATCTCGAAGCTCCACTCGTGTCCTTTGGCCAAGTTGGCTTGCCGGTGCCTGGCTGCGAAAGGGTGAGTCAGTGTGAGAACCTCACGTCGCGAGAAAAAGAGCTCGTGGCTCCAAGACATCACTTCTCGGACATCATCGCAACAACCATGCAAAAAGGACAGCTGTAGTCGGCAACACGCCATGGCAATACAAGCTCAGTGGTAACAAGGGCTGTTTCGCCAACTGATCTGACTGGTTGATAACATGTCCAATTGACCTGTACCCACCAGCGAGCGCAACCTTTCTCCTGTTGCGCATCTATTCTTTGGTGCATCAAGTAATTGTCATGGTTCTCTTTCAGTCACCCTCAATCTAGTTATACCTAGTTACTTCTTTTGTTCTGAAAGATAACCAGCAAAGGCTCTCTTGCGTGCTCAAACCCGCGTGATCTCTTGCTTGCGTACTGTGGAGGTGTTCCTTTAACTGTGCGGATCCATCTGCCGTTGAATGTACTGTGCAATGTACTCTGATTCATTGCCCATTCTCTCATCCTGTCGGTCAGAATTTGGGAAGATCCATTCGCTGCGGAACCGGCCGCACAAGATGAAACGCAACAAAAAAGATCGGAATTGTTGAAGTTGGGAGGCCAAGCAAACTGCTTGCTTTCCTAGCAAAGCTCCTCGCATCTCCATCACGGCAAGAAAGAACACACGTGCCGGAACTCGTGCCATCCTCTTTCACGGTGCAGCAGCCTTTGCTCTGTGACAGCACATATGGCTGCATACCCCATTGCGTACCTAGGTCTTTGCTTCTTGATTTGGTGGGAATGTGGAGATTAAATCAACAGTCCTTTCTTGCTGACTTGGAAGTACTGAGGCCATGACGTGTTTTTGTTACTGCTGACTCTGTTCAAAATGTGCCAGCCTGAAGCGCGCCAAGCGCGCCATACTTAGAGCTTCCAAGGTCTCGCGTCATCCCAAAAGCTCCTTTGGGCACGAAGATCTTCGGGTGCGGGGGCGGGGACTGCTTCAGAGTGTGCCGCCTCAGTCTGGGCGGAAAAAAAGACTTCAGCGCTTCGGGCAGCAGCTGGAAAAGGCGCAAAGTATCAGAAAGTCCAAATCGACGCAGAGTCATTATTACAAGTACGTACTAATCTACGCAGAGTAATCCAGGCAGAGTAGTCCCCACAGAGTAAGAGATCATCCACAAGTCTGTGCCACCAGCTGAATCTGTACCGCCAGTACTCGTGCCAGCTGGCTGAGACACTGGCCTCAGTGTAAGTGAATCCTTGCATCAAAAAAACACTCACTGAGGATGCCTCACTGAGGATCTCACTCTGTTAAAGCCTGTCCACCTCCCACCTGAGGCCAATGAAATCATGCCTCTCACAGCCCACACCTGAGCCTGCTGAGCCACACGTTTCAGGTCTGAGACACCAGCTGGAACGGGACGGAATTGACCCAGGTTGATTCGGTTGAGCAAATCCTGCGATTTTGCTAAGCTGCACGTCTGCACGTCTGCAGCAGCAAAACACATCAGGAATTCAAGGTGGCACCAGGAGGGGCAAAGGATTCTCTCAGTGAAAAATCATATTCACTCCAGTTCTGAAAAGCAAGGCCTTGCAAAGTCGTACGTCCTGATCCTCTGTGGTGTTGATTGCCTCCAAGGAAGATATAGGAAGATCAAAAGGTCAAAGAAAAGCTCCCCCGGCCTTTGGTTCCAATCAATTGCACACACTGAGCAAACCCTTCGACCAAAAGAAGAGACGGATCCAACCGCTCGCGATTTCGCCCGTGGCCTGCTCCTGAGGATTCATTTGACTCACGAGACGATGCCATGCCTAAGTGAGCCGGCAGAAGACTGAAACTTGTCGGTTTTGACTCCAAGAGAAGCCAAGGAGATGACGGTGGCGAGCATTTGAATGACCATGCTGCCGTAGAGGATGGCACTCGCCCATTGAGATCAAAGGTCCAAAAGGTAAAGGTTGGTCTTGCCAGTGCTCAGTTTGTGTTGTATGTTACGATTTCTCGAGTCCAATTAAAGTAAAACTGTAAGCTGCTTTGCAGTGATACGTGCAGTGACTGGTCGGATGTGAGCCTCATGGTCTGATATTTGTCGGAACACTCTCCGGGGTTCGCAAAAAACAACCAGTGAATTGCTCTGCAAGTGCAAACATGATCTTGCCCCACTTTTGCCCCTGAGCTGAACATGTCCTTTGCATGTCTTTTGTACATGGCGCATCAGTCGAAGTTCACGTGGACCTGTATCAGACTTCAAATGCAACTGCGAGTGCTTCAGCTTGAACCCCAATGTCACATGCGCTTACCGCTTCTAAAACGCCTCGATGTCAAACACGCTTCTTCAGGCAGGTTCAAGAAGAAGAACCCTGCTCCCGTTCGCCAACCATTGGCTGAAGGAGATGTAGTTCTGCAACAAGAGTGACTGGAAGCAGTAGTTTGGCACTTGAGTGTGACTGACTTACTCTTGTCCCTCCCCTCCAGTCTACAAAAGATCAAACATACCCATGTCAAGAACCGTCCTTGTTGGAAGGATCCAGCTGCAGCGCCGCGGCTAGCATTTCCTGCTAGCCACTCCGTGGCTTCGTTCGAAACGGTGCAGCGGAAGAAACGGCAGCAGCACAGAGGCACAAAGATGCGCAGGGCACGCGCAGGGCGATGAGATCGATGAGATCGCCATCTCCCAGCCTTCGCTTTGGTGACATTACCAGCATGTGCCTGAAGATCGAGGGGAGTGCTCACTGAACGCTTAATAGTTTCCTTTAAAACACTCCAAATTGCGGCGAACGGACCGGAGAGATCCTTGCTTTAACGTTGCTTCGCTCTGCGGTGTTGGGTCGCAGAAGGGATTCGTGGATGTTCCGTTGAAAAATGCTTCACAAAACTGTGCACTGTGCACTCCGCTGAAGAAGATGATCCCCCACTTCCCCACTGCTGTTCGGTTCCAGATGCTTCCACGCGAGAACGAAGGAAAAAGCCGCGCAGAGCAAAAGCCTTGTGCCGACTTGCTTCGACGCGGAAGCTCCGTGCCTCCAGCTGAGCCAAATTGGCTAAGCAGCCATGCTCCGATGCGTTCAGGCTTACTGCCTGTTGGTATGCTTGTCTCGCCTGTGGAAAAACGGACAAACAACGAAAAAAAAACGGATAACAGTGGTTGATACAAGAGGCATCACAAAAAAAGAATCAAAAAGGCATCGCACCCTGGCATCGATGTAGGATGAAGCAATAAGGCCAACGATGGATGCTATGGATCCCCAACACATGCGTCTCACTATGCGTCTCTTCAAAGACCGACCTTTTCACCAGTCACCAGCTTTGGCACGCGCCTTCTCGAAGCATTTCTGTCTTTGGTGAAATTGTCCAATTCGGGCCCATGCCCGAGATGACCTGGAAAACCGAGTTTAAAA